AGACATCTCATTACCTTAACTAGGTGACATCATCAGTGCACATCCTATACTTACCAACAAGAACAAACTCAGAGTAGCAGAATTCTGGACTGTACTATTCCTAAAGTTTAAATGGGGCAGAGAGAATATCTGTCTCAAAGACACGTTATTCCGAGCCCAGCAGACTGATCCATACCACTTGGGTCTAAAAAGTAACCAAGTGCCCCTTCTTGTGGGCCACCTTGCATTGATGTCAATGGGTGGGTGGGTTGTATAGATGAACCACCTTAGCAGCCATCTTAGCAGCCATGCAGTCTAATGGGAGAAAGCAATTGGGCAACTTCAAGCAGTTTAAATCCTTTGCCCAGAGTTGAATACAAATAGTAGACATAGAGATCAAATCATTATCATTCTCTCCCTCCCTCTCCCTTTCCCACCCCTCTCTCTCAAAAAAATGGTGCCTGAGAATAACTATCGGCAAGAATTAATCATATCTCTCAGGCTCCCTTAATGTCCAATTTCCATGCCTGGAAAATAAGCATCCCTTCAGTCAAGTTCTTACTTTTCACCAGCATGAAACGATTCTCACCAGTTTGTAGTGCCTTTCTAGCTACATTAAAGTCCATTAGAACTGCTAATTGTTGCTAATAGTATTTATACTTTTGTACATTCAGGTAATCCGATTCTCCCTTTCCTCCTTTCCTTTCTCTTCTGGTTCTTGTGGGCCAAGCAGTAAAAATTGAAAGGAAGGATACACAACAGTGCAATAAAACAAATTCCATGAACAACCAAATAGAAGACCATGTTTCAGAAAGGCAATTGGCAATGTAGCATGTTAGAAACTAATGGTGCATCTGTGGAAGAAGAGGGGGAGTAAAAACAAGGCAGCTGGACACCTGTTATGATCTTACTTTGGTCCGCCGCATTCAATGGCTGCCACCTTCACTACTGGCAATGCCTGGGTAGCCACCGGTTCAATGGTAAGGGTGTTTTGCTCCACAGCTGCCTGAACCAGCTCTGAAAGCTGCAACAAAGAAAACAAACACAAGGCTTTCAAGTCAACAAGGAAGGAGCACCTTCACCTCTCAGAAAACTCTGAACAACTCATCTTTAAACTGACTTCATGCTTGGTGAAGTCCAGGCAAGGGCCTACATCTTCATGGTAAATCCTCTTGAGAAAAGGACATGATTTATCCAATGTTGGAGACTCCTTCCAAGCCTGAAATTCTGCAAACAAGATGGAATCCACCTGCGGTGACAGAAAACCATGAAACAGAAGTCTATTGAAGAAAACTAGGAAGTGGAAAACATATACACACAGATAACAGGCACAAAGAAGGAAGTAGATATCCCCTTACAAAAACCAGAACGTTCTTCTAGTGTAGGTCCTATTCATTAGGCAGATGATGAGGGAAGGAAGCAGAATGTGACTTATGCTCCAGCAATAGGCAGCTCTGCCTCCTGTTCCATGCAGAAAGGATATGACAGAGAGAGCATCATCAGGAGACAATGTATCCTCCCTCAGTAGATTACAGTACTAGTATCCCAATAAGGTAATCAAAGGGAACATCACTTATTAGTCTGTAAATATTTGAACATACGGGGGCTCACATGCCCTATTGGAGGTGAAGTTCAGTTTCCTCTTCTTCTTGGGGAAGCAGCCTCGCATGGTATGTGATCTGCATTCATACTCAAGCAGTATGTCAATGACAGAGAGGGTGGGGCCTCAGCAAAATATCCTGCTTCTCTTTATGACAAATCAGTTGCTTCCAACAGGTCCAGAAGAAGGGCAAGAATACTTTAGTCAGCTCGACTGGACATAGTCCTATAATTCTATTACTATCTACAACATGAAAGTTAAGTTCTTCTAAACAAGTGATATGCATTTTAAATCCCATATCTTTGTTCCATTGAATAGGGAGAAAGCCATGTGCATGGCTTTCCCATAGAAAGAAGTTTAATTGACTCCACCAAAAAGGAATTCGCTTCCGATCCCAGCAAGCAAACATCCCTTCCCCAGTTGAAATAAACGAGTCTTTTCCAAAACACTCCATGGCTACTTGGTTGTGTTGAATAAGGGGCTGATTCCAAAAACAACTCATAGTTGAAGCATTCTATGTTCTGAAGATTCTGACTGTTACAAAATAAGGCATGCAGGCAGGTAGGAAAGGCAGGATGCAATGAGTCCTTTCTTCTACCCATCTATGCATATGGCAGGGAGAAGACTCACAAGATCAGAGAGTCTTTTCAATTGCTTGAAAATTGATAAATTCAATTCAATTCAAGTAAGTAAGCCAAGATGTAAATAAATAAATATTTAACCAAGCAAGTAAAGACGATCGGGCAACCATGGTTTTGCACTAGCAGGCAGGCAGGGCCAACGGAGAAAACATACCTGCTTGGTTTTTATAGCTATCCCTTAAGAATAAAAAAATATTTAAAACATTCTGTGATGAATCAAGTCTCAAATGCTGATTACTCCCAGAAAGGTCTACTGGCACCTTTGGGAAACCCAAAGCAAATAGGACCTGATTGCAGAGCTCTCTTCCATTTTTGCTTTTAGCAACTGTTAAACATTTGGGATTTCTGATTCCAAAACTGAACATAGTATACAGCAATCCTGACTGGTAACCATCCAGTCTTCCATAAATTTGTGAGTTCTGCTTTCCAAAGTAGAGTAGCTCATATATGATTTGTGGAAAAGATCTTGGCATTTCGGTTTCTCAACCCAGCCCACGCAACTGCCACAGCTATAGACAAGACCTTTGTTTTAAATCAGAGGTGGGGAACTACGGCCCTTTTATGACTTGTGGACTTCAACTCCCAGAATTCCCCCCGTCTATTTTAAATAAAGGCAATTCTTCAAAGGCAAAATCTTCAAACTTTGGTACCACCAGGTTTCTTCTTTAAATAAAGGCAATCCTCAAAACCGGGAGTACCTCCAGTTTTTCAGAAAACTGCCAACCTCACCCAGCATGTTCTCTTCCAAATGTTGGAGAGGGTTAGAAAGTTCCACAATAGAAAGCATAACCATCATAATCAGAAATAACTGGAGATTCTCAGTCATCCAAATCATGGTTGTCCCAAAGGTGCTTTTTCAAAAGGCAAGTAGACTTTCTGGGTTTTTTTGAAAACATTTTACTTCTCATCCAAGAAGCTCAGAGCTGAAGAAGCTTCTTGGATGAGAAGTAAAACGTTCTCCAAGAAAAAACCAGGAAGTCCAGGTGCCTCTTGAAAAAGCACCTTTGGGACAACCATGATTTGGATGACTGAGAATGTCCAGTTATTTCTGATTATGATGGTTATGCTTTCTATTGTGGAACTTTCTAAC